TGGTTTGTGCTAGTGTCGTCGTTGAGGTGATAAACATGTTTGTATAATGGTTGATGCACAAACAAACATAAAAAAAAAATTAAAAAGATTTCGTTTAATCATATTATAGTGGTCATTGATTTGATAGTTCTTATGACTATGACCACATAAGTTTCCAAAAACAACCACACAACCTTTTGTGTTGACTGAAATGAATGACTCTTTCCCGGCTAGAGTCTTTTGAATACTCTTCATTATTATTTTCCTATTTTAGCGAGAGGAAGAATCGGTTCTTATCAGTAGGTCCAAATCTCTTAAGAGTCCCCTTTTGTAGGATCAAGATGCAACTGTATTGTGTATATAAGAATGTTGTGACGAATCAATTGATTAATACAGTAAATAGATCATTCTTTCTCTAAAGAAGTTCCGATACCAAATGATAGGTCTAGATCAAAGCTTTAAAGTAGAATTCAAGTGACAGACAATGTTTTTTTGCTTCGATTTCGACATCCTTCGATATACATCGATCCAGAGGTTTACCATGTTTTGGTGGATACCAGCTTAATCAATTTCTAACATCCTCCATCCACAATAAGGTGAATCTTCAATGACATTTATCTACCATAGAGCATCAAAATGTCATTTATTTCCCTGTAACAAAAGGACTAGACATAGTTTAATTAGTTTACTGATTTTTTGTTTTATTATTGGCTATAAAGTCCACATATTTAAGGACAAAAAGTATAATAAAGAACATAAACACCTCTGGTTCTATCAGAGACTCGTATTAGTCGTCAAATGGACGATGGTAATGTCCCCAACTTTCTCTGTTCTTCCCATTTTTCAACCTTCAGATTTTTTGAAAAATAACAAAATGAACATATTATTTTTTATCAAAAAAAAACGACCATATTATATCAATTTCACATAACCAAAATTTTTTTTTTATATAATTCTAATTTTCATATCATGAAAGATTTTCTCACCAATTCTTCAGGGCATAATGAACGTACGTAATCTCTCAAGTTGTTGCAATCATTCGCATCGCTTCCCTTTTTCTCAACGCACCTATGTATATATTTTAAAATAATAATTTAATTTAATATATTAACACTCGCACCCTCTAATCATTTAATTAAGTGGTAGATTCTAAAACTTACTTATGGTACTGCATGTACCGATTGAAACAATGTCGAGTTTCACTCGTGACCGGAAACCCTTTATCCACTGTCGAATCCCTCTCTTCGCCACCGTCTCCGTCGTCATCTCCTCTCTTAGCTCGAAACTTCGGCTCGTTTTCCGGTGACGGCGACACGGTACCGGGAGTGTGAGCTGATCTTGGAGCTTGCTGGCCTCTCGCGACTTTGCTTAAGTCACGTGATCTCATCTTATCATGTGGATCCATTTGCGCCGACGACATCTCCGATCAACTTTTCCGATTTGAGGATTTCGTTTGAGTTATTTCATTTTGTTACGTTCAAAAGCAAAGTTTAATAACAGAGCATCAATGCCACGTCATAGCGGTTGAGTTACACGTGGGGTGATCGAGAGACCTGAATGTGTTTCAGCTTTTTGTACGGTTAAAAAGGCTTGGTTCAAGTAACTTTCATTTCATGTGATATTTATGAGCCTAAAATTTGGGCCCAACGTCGATCTGAGGTTTAAGTTTTTAACATTAGCTTATAATTATTACTAGATTTTGATGCAGCCACACGAAATTAAATAATTAAATAGAATGGTTAATCGATTTTAATATATACTATAGGAGAATACCCGTTCGATCCCCGAACGGCGATGAGAATTTTTTTTTAAGAGTACTATTGGTGTTAATAAATTGAAGAATGGGTATAGGCATTGGTAGTATTGGTATATGTGAGAGGTGTGAGGAGTGTATGAATTTGTTTGTAGTATTACTTGTATTACGAAAGAAACTCTTCACCGAACGAGTTTTAAAGTAGAATCGTAGAATTGTATTTGATATTAAAAAACATTAAAATATAGAAAAGAATATGAATAGTAGAACTGTATATGACACTACAAAATATATAATATCTCATCTAAGAGTGGAAGTTTTGAATGAGATAGAAGGTAATCTCCAATTTGATAAATTGCTAAGCTCTGACTTTCTTTCCTTGTGCTTCAAGTTTTCGTACCAGCCTGCAAACAACATATAGAAGAACAGAGAAATGTTACAACAAAGTTAAATACTTATATGGTTTAGTTACTTACATGAATATTAGTATCAAACCTGTTGAAGCTTTGCGTTAATT